GCAATGCAAGAAAGCCAAAGGTGATGGCCTTTCTAAAAGAGGACAATTCCTTGTAAGCTTTTCAAACAGGGAATATTTTATATTTTAGGCTTTCCCGACATACTTCCGACTCCTCTGTTCAGAACTGCCATGACTGCTGAGCACAGGAAGCAATCCCGATTTGCCTATTAGGAACCTGCCAATAGAATGACTTACAATACAGGATTGTGTAGGACACGACTGGTGAAGAAGGGGATGCCACATGGGAAATAACTGGTAAGGCAGTGAGAGAATAAATCAGTATATTCCATGTAGATATAATTTTTGGTTTTCTTTAAGAATGTGCTACACAAAATATGAAACTGGTTTCATTTGATTGAAGTTATTAGCAATAACTCTTGATCGGCTTTTATTTTTAGTAAAGATGACCTCACAGAACCTTCATCTTCTTTTTTTCTGCAGCTCTATAGTGTAAGCCAAGACAATTGAACCCTTTTAGTAGTAATGCTGGGCACTCAGAGGAACTCTCAAGTACTATTATCCCCAGTACCATCAAAAACACTATAATTTGTGCTGTGTATAGCAGTTTTGAAATGTGTCATGGAGATGGAGTGATTCATACTTTCTATTTTTCTTGACAATAGATGTTAATATTTTCTGGTATTTAGAGTGTCAGCTTTTTGTCAACTTACATTGCATTTTGGGTTTGAGCTTTTTTGCCCCCATGTTCTCTGAAACCTAAATTGTATGACTCGGTACAAAATAAAGCCTATTGCTTGACTACCACTTCTAACCCTGCTTCTTATGGACGTTTTCACAGGGTAAATATTCTTGTGAGGAGGCAATAAAATCCTGGGGAATGTAGGCAGGAGAATGGAGAAAAATAGTGAAAGATTAGGGTCACAAAATCATTTGGATCTCAGTGAGAATAATTAATATTGAAGATGGTTTTCTTTAGGGGTAAAAAGTTACTAATTTGTGATCATTAAAAACAGTTCATATCTTGTTTTCAGAGATATCCACATCGATAAAAATCCTGTTAGGCAAGTACTAGACATAAGCTAAATCATAAAATAACTGGCATCCCACTTCAGAATATTTGAAAGGAATGCTGAAGTGACCAGAGCAATACCTGAAATACGGGTAGAGCTTCCATGGAAGAGATGGGATAGTATTTCTGTGATACACATGATTTCTTCACATTTCCATGTTAAATTCAAAGTGCCCTTGAAAGTGCCATGCAAAGCTTCCAGGTAACACTAACTACTTAAAAAAAAACATAAGATCACAATACTCAAGTATTAGTTTTATTTTACCCTTCCTGCTTGGAAGCAGCATTATAACTCAGGAGCTCAGCTCTGAAGCATATAGGTTTTTTGAAGCATTGAAGAACGGAAGACGAAAGTTCATACAAAGGAGGAAATATCAAAATGTGGTATATCTAATAATGAGGAGATAGCACAGCTTGTTGCTAAGCTCAACATACAAGGAAGAAAAATTACAGGCTTATTTAAAACCTGCAGCTTGGTCTCACGGCCCCTAAAGGAATTCAACCTCAAAGCTGCCTGTGACACACTAAGCATGTGTTAGACTACAGAAGAAAGGGACAATGACACCTGCAGAACTGCTGTGTTTGGTGCTGGTGTCAAGATCATTTTACAGCTCATGCTTTGCCTGCAGAAAGTATCTAGGAGGAAATCGCCTTTTTAAGGCTCTCGAAAACCTGCTACTGCAAGGAAAGAAAATCATTCCCCAGCTCCCAAAGGAAAACTATCCTATGCAGATTCTTTTTATCTCTCCCTTTCTCTCCTTCCTCCCACACCACATAGCAATAGCAGTTAATGAATGCACAATGGCTCCACCTATCAGAAACAGGAATACCGGACATTTGTTGATAAAAGTCGACAATGTGGCCACATTTACAGTAACAGACTTTCACAATAAAGTAATACACAAGGTAAAAAAGGCTCTAACTTTCTCAGAATGGAAGAGATGTATTTTCCTAGAGAACAGAACAATTATTACAAACAAAATTATCACCTGGTAATTTCTTTAATATCTACTATCTAACAACTGAGGCTGTAAAAGTGAAGCTAAAGAGATGAAGCATAAGTGATAGCTCTGCTTGGAAAACTAACCCACAGCTATTCATTAAACAAGGTCAAATCATTGGATAAGGCTAAAGGAAAGGCCTGTCATATACCAAAATGGATACTTCTTATGCCATAGGGGACTTTATCTCTGAAGCCCAAATTTCGCAGAGAGACAAAAGTGGGTTGAGCATTGAAGAACTTTGCTGGTTCCAGTTGTCTGTGCACAAGTCAGATACAAAAAACAAAAACCACACCAAAACCAAACCTCAAAACCAAAAAGCAAAACCCACCAAGAATAGTAAGATCTCATAGATCAGTGACCATTACATAGCTCCAGGAATGAAAGGAAGTACTACCCAGAGAAGAAAAAATCCTCTAACTCTAGACCATCTCTGAAAGCATGTAAAACAACTGGAAATACATGCACTTAAAGCATATCTTGTGTCTGGAAAATAGCAGAGTGCCTATGAAAAACCCCAACAATCTGAAAATAGCCTCATTTCTGACAACAGTTGGCTCTGTTGTACTTGATTTTGTTAATCACACACTAACACAAACTGAAGAATGGAAAGACTATAATGGTACATAAACATTCATAAGACATCTAAGCCCACAAAACTAATTCTGTAATTTGGCTAGCTTACAACAAGATACCTAGAATTGCCAAAGGGAGTTGTTCTAAGCAGCATTAAGCTTCTGCAGGGTTCAATGTTATAACGCATTTGTAATCCAGCAGGGGTGAAGATGATGCTGCGACTATATTCTGTAACAGGCTTCACGTGATAGCAGAGTTCTACCTAGTTCAAATCCAGGCAATTCAGCTTTTTTTCAGCAGGGGTACCACCACTGTGGGCCACTTGTGAGGCCACTGTCACCTCATAAGCAGCACCTCCCAGGCACCACCTTGGGACCACCCTCTATCCCATCATCAGGCTACTGGACAGTAGCAAGAGGTTCTCTCCTGTTGCGCTTCCGACCACCGGCAACTACAGCTCCTCAGCATCAGAATGTCATGCAATGTATACGTTGACATGGCGGCTGTGGCCCTCTCCTGTCACTTTTGGTCCTTTCAGTCTGAAGTGTTGAACCTTGAACCCCCAAGTCTATGTAAATGTTTTAATCATTAAAGAAAATCCACAGTAACATCATCCCTGCGCAACAGTTCCGACCTGCAAACGTAACAGCTGCTGCAGTTCTTTTCCTAACAGTCTCCTGCCTTCACGAAAGCACTCATCAGCATTCGCAGGCATTTCTGAGCTCATTAGAGGTAACTTTATGTCTGCATGAAGTTAACTATAACATTCGTCACACGCGTTCTCTGATGTCAGCAGCATGAGCAGTAGCTGCTTTAGGCTCTATTTTAATAATTTTCTTCAAGTGCCACTTCTGTAGCAAAAGTTTAATCTCACCTTTCTACAATAACTACTACTATTTGTGGTATTATGGTAACCACATCTGACTCATCTGGCGTAAAAGAAGGGCAAAACTCCCTCATTCAATAATTCTTGCATCAGGCTTAGCTACTTGCTCTTGAGGCAGCTCTTCTTTTAGAAAGATATACAGTTTTGATCAAAGACTTCCACTAATGGAAAATCTATCATATTCCCTGAATGATGCATTCCAATAATAAAATACTTTGGCTTCTGAAAATGTGCATCATCTTTCCTGATCAAATTCTCTGACTTAGAGGCTCAGCCTCAGGATCTTGTTATGTTGTGCCTTCATGATAAATGAATCCCCAGTACCAAGCATCTACTGCATGGAGTAGATATGTCACCCCTTACACTTCCCTTTGACAAAGAAAGGAAAACAGAAGTGAAAAGAAAGCCCTCATATAAATTTGTTTAAGGTTGGCTCTATGCTTTTTAAAGACAAGATGACTTTAGGTCTCATCTTAAATACAAAATAGCTTTTCTTTCCACCTCCAAATATAGAGTCAAGCACAGAGATTCAGATTGAAAGGAAGACAAAAAGGAGACCCCATTCCCCATATATCCAAAACCCCCTCCCCCCCCAAAAAAACACCCCCAAACAAACACAAGATCTAAAAGAAGTTGTTTCTCATGAGCTTTCTACAGTAAAAAGGACATATCAGAGGTGACTGAAGAACTTCTAAACACATGCACAAAAGGGAAATACAAGGAGAAATCCTCACACACAGCTTTAAAACTAGATTCCTCTAAAGTTCCTTTATCATTATATCATGAATTTACAGTGCTTTTAACTAGTTAGATTAGTAGTAAATAAACATGTGAATTTCTATCAAAGTTAGAGGAAGCCACACTAGTGACCAAGCTGTTGAATACATTTAACATTTTCCCTATTGAAGAACAATGAGGACTTGCCAGTGCAGTAGTACTACTGATACTAAACACAAGGTGAAAAGATTGGGTAAGATGAATTCCTGGAAAACACAAGAAAAAAAAACCAAAACCCAGTCAGGATTAGAGCACATGATTCAGTTCTTGGGAGCAGAACTGATTTTTAATAGAGCATGGTAGCTCTAGCACCAGAAGAACAAAGGACTAAGCTGGACTGAAAGTCTAACCAGAAAAGTGTGCTGTTCTGTATCTTCAGCAAAGTGTCTACAACAATCACTTGGAAAACAAAGTGGCTCTTTAATAACAGCAAATACCCTCCCCACTAACCCAGAAATAGATGTATCCCAATCTTAGGGAGGGATACACACCTACACAGAAACATTATCTGACATGGAAGAAGCATGTAAAATCAGAAGAGCTGGTCAATTTTAATGGTGATCAAAGGAGAAATAATATGTTGCAAAGCTATTCCAACCATAACTGGACCTGGTTTTGGACATCATCACTGTAAAAACATGTTTTGGTCAAGCCAGACATATCTTTTGGCTTTTTGTCTCCTGAACCAGAGAAATACCCTGAGGCTCTTTGCCATACACATTACTCAATATCAAAGCATTGGCAAATTTTCTTTTATTAGGGCAGTAACAAAACAGCACCAGCACATTAATAGTCAATGGTAAACAATGGAGTAATTGTCCAGCATCTAGATATCTGACATTCTAGCCATAGCTTTCTTTGTGTATACACACATTCCAATGCATATTTACAAGTTGGTAGCAAGTTTTATTAACATCTTGCACACACAACACATACATAGGTACCTCAGTATCAATTATTGTGTATTAGCCAAACCAGCAGAAAGACTCTGCAGTAACTGACACCTGCAATAGTCATGCACAATGTTATGTTCAGATCAGATGAGTGGAGAGGAAGAGACACAGTAAGATGTGAGGAGAAAAGCGAGCAAGAATCACCGACTGAAGATAGGTTATTCTTTCCCAGTTCTTCAGGTCAAAAGCTAAGGATTGCTAAGACAGTACCCATATTATTGTCTAGGAAAGTCTGCTTCTTGATTAAAACCAGCTTCTAGAACTGCTTGTAAAGCTAGACAGGGCAGGAGGGCAAGAAGAAATAGCTTTTGAAGAAAAACTTAAGTTGCATTGGGCATTTTTGAGAAGTGAACTAGTATGTCCTCGTCTGATAAGGCTAGGCTCAGCTAAGCTACCCTCGTGGAGGATATATTTTTTGTTTAGACACATAGTTTTTGTTCAGGTCTGTCCTTTGGGAAGTTTGCCTGGTGACTCCATATGCTACAGGCCACATTTTAGAAAGGAGAGAGTGTAAAAGCCTGAATCCTGGCAGACCTAAGCAAGCCCAACTGATGCAAAAGGTACTATGGTACAGGAGTTGGTATGAAATTCTACTACAGAACTCTACCCAGGGCAGTGAAAACCACTACATCTCTCTCCAGGTGTATTAATTTGAGGAGAGACAAAGGCAAAACAAGCCCTTTAACTTTGGTACAGCATTTTCCCTATGTAATCATCGCTTAACACATGAGCAGATTTGCTTCAGTAACAAACATGTTAGGTAACATGCTCATATACAGACATGCTTTGAAGGTCAACCTTAGCAAACTCTGCTACATTAAATCTGTGGTTTGAATCATATTCTAAGATACTAAACAGAATCAGTCTAGCTGAGCTGCATTTTATTATAAAGTGAAAATAAGGACACTTCAAGAAGTGAAACAGTTCAATGTATAATCGAGTTTCAAGTATATTGAACATTTAGTAAGGAAATTTTAAAAGTCACTAGATGTCTTCCTACTGACTTAACACAGTTCAATATGTCAGAGTAGGAAATCCATTTGGATACCCAGATAGCCATGGCTGACCACATTGTGAATGTCAAGTTCACCATCTCAGTCAGTGAACCCTTGCCGTTTTAAACTTGGGAAGTCATTAACCATGAAGAAAACCAAATATTATTACTTAACAACCTGCTCAGCTGCAGGTACAAGCATTCTAAGCTGATGAACCAAATGTAAGTATTTTCTGCATTTATCTTCAGCTACACACAATACACATAAATCCCAGGGGTGCCAATTTCACTACAGAAACCACGCAATTAAAATTTGCTAATATAATTAGCAAAGAGAAAGCATAAAAAAAATAAACCCATGAGAGGCTTTTAGGGAGCTCTAGGAGACTGGTAAAGGGTACACGCATGTGACATTCCACAGAAATGAGGCAGGCTGGCTGCGTGCCAGTGTCAGCCACTGTAACTGCACCCTGCAAGAATTCAACTGCAAATCTCTGTTTCCTTTCATGTCTTTCATATCTTTACAATTCTCAAGGCAAAAGGCAAAGACAAAGTCTTTCAGCTGGAGCTCTTTCATCCAAGAACATTCTTCATCCAAGGCCAAAGGTTCACCATATCCTAAAAGGCCTTTGGATCTGCATGTTCAGTCATCTTCATCCAAATGTATTTCTTTGGGAGCATTATTCAGTCCTTGTGGTCGATCCTAAAAGAACACCAATAAAAACTATCTTCATTCCTTCAAATACAATCTTCAATGGTTTTATCTCTAGGACCACTGTATGACAGTATTGTGTCAAAGGTGCAAAAAATGGTAAATGATTCAGAATTATTTCCATTAAAACCATAGCACATTGAAACACTTCTCCTGCTATAGGTTTGGGGGTATTAGCCAATTCTTTAGATAAAGATGAAATAGACTTTCTGGAAAACCACCCATATGAACACAATGTTTTTCTCCTGTGCTGACAGCAGTTAAAAAGACTACCCATTGGCTTTCTCCGGACAGTATTTTTGAAGTGATAAAAACTGTGATATAAGACCCTACCTGTATATTACACTACTACAATATATTTTGCATCTAAAACTCCAGAATATGAGGAGGCTCCTGTTCCCACTTAAATTGCTTTACTGGAGTAGGGAGAAGCAGAGTCTCCTCTGTGAAGAAACAAGACAGTTACCTTACAGCGCATGGTAATGCTACAGAACAGTTTATAACACAGTGTGAGAAAAGCCTTGCAATCACAACTTGCGACTGCATAAAAGAGCCAGGTAATCTTGGTTTAAAACCAATCCCATTCTCTAATCTGACCATCATCTAGTTTGCTTAACTTTCCTCCTCTCTTTTCATACATATGAAGTTGTCCAATCCTTTGCCTTTTTTGTTTTCCCTTAGCCATTGATTCACCTCTTCCTTCTGCCCAAATTTCTTCTTTCCTTTTCTCTTCATGCAGTCTCTCCCTGCTACCCTTCTTTTCAGTTCCATAAGCCCCTTTAAGATTTTAGTCTTTGCCTTTCCCCTCTGCATCATTTGCAACTCTTTTGGTCTCCAGAGTCTCTCTACCAGTTCTGGGTCTTCTGCCCCTTTCAGGCTATTGCCTCAGTCAGCTCCAGTTCATTGATTTCTTTATTTTGTATTCTTCACTTCTCCTCATAGCCCTCTTTCACCTAAACCCACAGTAACTACAGTTTCATTTTGGTACGCTCCCAAGCACCACCCTGCCTAACAGGCTCACAAACTGCTTCTAGAACAAAAGGTGAAACCTGCCTTGTTCTAATAGCTTGACAAGACTTAATTAGAGGAGAGCTGATCTTCAGTATGATTTAAAACAAAAACCACTCACAAAACTTTCTCTTTGCAAGCAGTGCTGTCAACTCTCGTGCTATTACAATACTTGAAATAGTTAAGTTTATTACCTCTAAATACGCAGTTTCTGAATAAAATCCATAAGCATCTCTCTCAGAAAGGAAAATTTCAAGTTCTGATGGTTATTCCTGTCTTAACTTAATGAACTACAAGTGAGAAAGGGTTTAATTCAACCCTAATATTTTGAAGTCTTAAAATTTTTAAGCTGGTTGTAAAATTATTAGCATTCTGACTTACAGGGACAGATATAGACCTGATCTGAAGAGGAGAGCAGCACACTGTGTACCAATAGCTTCAGTCCACACCTGACTTTGAGTATTCTGAGGTAACACTACATAATGTAGAGTCAGAATATTAAAGGAAGGGAAGAAAAAAAAAAAGAAACACTGATCTCAAGCAGTCACCACGTAAATGCCATTAACATGTCACTCATTACACTAAAGGTTGTAAAACCAGGCAGCAATGTCATCTCGGTAACTTCTATTCCATTTTGCATGGAAGTGACCAGAAACGACAAGTGTTTCATACTTCACAGATTTCAAACCAGTGGCAAATGGAGGGAAACCTCAAATTTTCTCAGTTTGAGATACTTGCTCCTATCAAAAGGAATTTCTTGATCTCAAGTTAGAAGCTGTTTCTCCTGTAATGGGAAATGGGCAGGTCAGATAAGGGCTACTAATGAGGATTACTTTTTTCTTGGATGGAATGTAAACACCCCCCTTCCTTAATTAAGTCAAAGCCACATAATGGGGAAGGGAAAGTTTTGGGTTTTAAGTCTATTTAGCCTCCACAAAACCTTTAATTGTTGCGGTTTACATTTTCTAGAATTAATACAGTTAAATTGCCCTTGGCATTCTTCTTTTATGGCCCTATTTAGTTTTCCCAATTTTGACTAGAAACTCTTCAACATCGATCTTCCAACATAAATGATACCCCCTTCACGCCTAGGCTATGTTTGCATAACTGGGTTAATTACTTCAAGGAAATATTTCTCTATCAATTCTGTTCTGAAATGAATTTAAAGAAACTGAAGGATTCAGAAATCCTTTATAACATTAACTTTTTGAATTACGTTAACAAGACATATTAGCTCAAACAGAAACTTCCTATTGACTCTCTATTCTGCCTTCAAGGCCTAACCAAAGCAGATCTCAGACTTTAAATCTGATAAATCTGAAATGGGATTTGGTTTGTATAAACAACAACTCCAGGCTTCAAAGTTTATTAATTCTTTAGTGTCCCCTGTTCTTTAGCTTTTAATGTGTAAACTAGAATTCTGTGCACCACAGTCAATAAACAACATCTAGCTGAAAGGGAACAGTGATATAAGATACCATGCATCTTCTTGTAAAAGCAAACATCCTAAGCATGTACAGCACAAGTGTAAAGAGAGAAATTAAGGTAGACTGCGTCCGCTACAGCCTACAGGAAAACTGAAGTCAAAATGAGGGAGTTTGCTCTTAAGTTATTTTTTCCTAACAAATTTCAGGCCTATGAGATCTTGGATCTAGCACGTTATGCAATTAAGGATCATTTCCTGGATGCTCAGACACTCCCAAATTTATTCATAAACGAATCTAAGCTATTGCTTTCTGTCCTGGCACCTGACAGAGTAAGCAATCCTTAGCGTTCCCCTACTGACTCCTGAAAAATGCAGTACAAAAAACCCACAACATATCAACAGCAAGCTTGGTGCTGGGTCAGTGTTTTCCCTGCAGTGGTGAAAACGCATTGTGACATACCATGAAATGCTTGGAAGCACTTGCACACAAATTTCTCAGTGCTCAGTTCTTAGCACTTAAGCTAGCTGTGGGTCAAATCGATGCTAAGACAAATCTAAGCTTTACAGCTGTTGAAATACTTAAGCCCTACCGGATTTTAAAGTGATGTCATAGCAGTGCAGCTATTACTTGCCTGACACAGGATCTGCTGATGGCAGTTGAGGTTCTTATTCATCAAGGGGCCCAAATAATTGAAACAATCCATCTGCTCCATGCACTTGCTTTCTGCCTACACCGTGATTACTTACTGCCTTGTGATATTTGCCAGTGATGTCATACTTAATCAAGCAATTGGTGGCCTGTTAGATCTCCTGAGAACTGTGCTGCACTCCTGTGATGGAGCATAGGTAACTAAAAAAAAATCCACCTGCTCCAAGCTTTCCCTTTGCAAAACCTGATGGGACATGATATTTGGCAGGGACTGTCAAAACTGATCAAGCAATTGCCAGACTCATGCATATTTCCTGAAAGCTGCTGCTGGTTTTCATCATGAATTCCAGATAATTGAAATAATTGACCTGCTCTAGGGCCCTGCTTTGACTCCAGTGTTTTCTACAATGGGACATTTACCTATTGTCATATTTGTTTAAGAGCTGCAATAGGAAAAAGCTTTGATTACTTTTCCCCGGGATGTCATAGCACCACAAAGGAAAGTGACATTATTTGCACAGTTTGCATTACTGAACTGCCAGACACTGTACTCTGAGCCCTGTACTCATCCCATTACTTCAAGTGCACATGCTACGCTATATCCTCTTAAGTGTTAGAAAGGTATAGGAAGAGGAAATGAGGGAAAGCATGCAAGCTAAAGTTTTGCAACCAAGCTGACAGTGGGAATCCTATTACTGCTGCCATATGATGAGTGCAAAGTCATTTAAACACTCCAGTGCTCTGCTGGTTAAACAGACTTCTATTAAGCTTTTTTTGTGGGCCCCTTAACTACTGAAATGTTTTACAGAGCACTGGGTACCCTCACTTAGGTTTTCACCACTTACCACACACTTAAAGAACAGACCTGCCTGTTGATTGATATAAAAGATTTTTAGAATAGCCCAATTAACTGTAATAGCCATAAAAAGCTTTTATGTGTTCATCTGGTGAGGGGTATAGCTCTTACTTGTAATCAGATTATATTGCTCAGTTTTATTTGAGAAGAACAAAAATAGCACATTCACTCTCTAGATCACATCCCGCTCCTGAATTTATTGTATTCATCTCAAGGATGGATTTTCAGTTGTGCTCATTACTGTGCTTGGCATCCGAGCAGGTCGCAGACTGACCAACAGTGACTTGTAGAAATCTAGCATATCTGCAATAACCTTGCAACTGCACTTCCAGCACTTTCATTAAGATATAACATTTCTGCAGCTAGTTTAAGGGGTTCAATATTTTGCCCTGCACAAAGCACAACACATAGATTTTTTAAAAAAAGACTTCTTATAACATAGCATCCACCTCTAATAATGCCCAACTTTCCTGAGCTCCAAGGTTTTCTTCATCTGTAGCTTTATCTTTTCAGCTCATCAGCTTCAAACAGATAATGCTGGAATAACTAAAGAGAACTGCTATTTTTAAAGGCAAAAAGCTGCCAAATCTTATATACATGTACAGCTAGGAATTTTATCAACAACATAAGAGTTACAATGATCTACCCACTTAAATGTTGATTTTTACTTAATTTGAATGAAAAAAAATAATCAAACCAACTTTAGAAAGTCAAGATGATCTGTTACGAATAACAAAGTTTACAAGTAAACTATGTGATAAAGGGAATTTTTCCCTTGAGCTTTTTAGGAAAGAAAACACTGTCTCTTGATCAGAAAGGTTTGATGTGTATTAGTGTAAAGATAAAGTCATATCTTTTTTATGTTTCCATCAAAAATGAGCCAGCACTTGCGTGCAGGGCCATGGTAGTCATTGGAGGTCTGTTGTCTAGAGAACAGCTAGGGATTGTTCTGCTTCCCCCATGCTCCTGACCTGCTGCGGTCCCTTCTAACCTTCAGGTCCTAGTAGCATCACAGCACATGCAGCCCAACCCATTGAAAAATATCTTAATTG